TTTTTTTTGGCAAATATTTAGATTTGCCATGCTGCTTCAAGCACAGTTCACCAGTGCATCTAAACCGATTACCAGTTGTCAATTTGTTTATAACGCTTTTAGTGACAACTTTGTGAAGCGCGACTCAACGTCAAAAATGAGTAGTGCCATCAAACGCAGATTTAGATTTAGAAAAAAAAACTTGAAAAATGAAGGATTAAAAAGCTTACGTTTTGACATCTTTGTGCTGGCACTGCTCGAGAAGCCACTGTAGGCAGAGGTGTTCTGGTGTAGACTTTGTTGCAGCGTGACAGCAATGGCACTGTAGGTGAGAATCATCACCAGCAGCGGCAGCACGAGGAGAATCAACAAGAGAAATATAGTGAACGCTTCTCGGTACAAAAAACTAGGCCACGCTTCGCGACACTTGAAGTTTCCTGTAAATGATTAAAGAAGACCAGTTGTTGAACCAAAAATGAGTCTTTTCACACAAATGAACCTGGCACTCACCAGTCTGTTTGATCATCTGCAGCTCGCTGACAATGGCAGTGGGCAACATGAGAAAGATGGCCAACGTCCAGACGAGGCCTAGAATGCGATAGGCATGACGGCGAGTCTGGCGGTGTTCCCGGCTGCGAAGTGGCTGACAAATGGCGTAGTACCGCTCAACGGACATCGCCACCAGCGTCCACACGGAAACGGCCACCGAGACGGCTAATGTGCAAAAAACAGAAAAAGAAAAAAAGAAAGTTGAGAAATGTATGTGATTGTGTCAACAACAGCAAAAAGCACCCGAAACTGCCAAGTAATCAATGCCATTCTAATCAAAATCATCGGTTGTATTTACTTTGCATGTACGAGATCAGATGGCACATGAAACGGCCAAAGATGAAGCGTCGCAAGAGAACGCCGACCAGGGTGGCGGGCATGCAAAAGACGCCCAGCAGAAGGTCGCTAATGGCCAAATTGAGCAGGAAGATGTTAGTCACTGAACGCATTGAACGGTTCAAGGTGAGCGTGATGATCACCAGCAGATTGCCCACTACGGCTAGCACAAAAATGAGGCTGTAGGGGAGAATAAGCGTGAGGAGGACGTCCCAGGTGAAAATGGAACTGCTGATGTCAGAAGCTGCAGAGTCGGAGGTGTTGTTTGGTAATGCTGGTGGTTGTTGCTGCTGAGATTTAGGCACTGAAGTTGTCGACATTGAAGGCGTTTCAGAATGTTTAGAGTGTGCACTTAGAGAAACGTACAAAGATTTATGTAAACTCTGTTGTTGTTGTTGCTGCTCCTGTTGATTGAAGCTCTCATCGTCAATAAGGTTGGCAGAAATTGGTCCCCATTTTGTGGTCGTCGTTGTCCCTGACAACTGGTCCAAAACAATTGATGAATGTTGAAGCTCATCTGCCGTTACTAAAAACTGGCTTTCAGCGCCCATCAACAACAGTAATAGGCAAATGGGTTTAGCTGGCCAGTGCTGAAGATGGCAAAAAGGCTCTGGCAACGTGGGGCACCGGAAACGGGTACTCATTTCACAGAGTTTTTTCTAGAAAACACTGCTGCTGTTGCTGAAGCTTCACTGGGCAAATAAAGCGAAAAGGTAGTGTAAGAAGAAG